TTATATAATAAAAATTCATAAATTTGAACCATGCTAGAGCATGACAACAGCAAAATGCTCTATAGTATGATGCACAATATTTTGGGAGGTGATCGAAATACACGAACAATAAATCGGAGAGTGTTTGCTTGGAACTCACTGGGGGGGGGGGGGTTGCAACACCCCTGATAATTGCTTATCAGGAATTTCAGGTAGATTTCCAGTGCACTTTTAGGTAAATTTAAGTAGATTTGCAGAAATTTTCAGGCGAATTCAGGTAATTCTCAGGACATGAGAAAGCGAATTTGGAAAACAACTGTATTTTCGGAAAAATTAATATATGTCTTGAAAATTTTTTGTACATCTGGAAACATTTTGGTAACCCCCTGCCCCACTCTATCTAACCTCACACACCCCCTCAGACGAAGTGCTCGCAACGGCACTGAGTATACATCTTTTGAAAACAGGCGAGGGGTTATTGCATGCATGTATTTCTAGTTTAATTAATAGTAAAGCTGGATTCTTTCACCGTGATGTCATGCCAAAATGTGTCTTTTCTATTTTTAAAAAAGATCCCGACTCTATTGTTTTGTGATTTGTTAATATTAATATGCACTTAATGTCTGCATCCGAGGGCAATAGTTAGTTTTGTTTTTCCGAGAATCTCAATGTTTCCCGAGACGAAGTCGAGGGAAACATTGAGATTCGAGGGAAAACAAAACTAACTATTTCCCTAGGGAAAAGACGTTGAGTGTTTTGTTATATAGCGACGAAACAAATATCAACATTGAACAACATTCACACAACAATATTTGTATTTCATGACGAAAACTCTATAGCGTAAGCGAGTTTAAAATTTAAAAAACCTATTAAACGGTTTCAGCAGCATATCCTGTTGCCTGTTATGTATTTTTCTTCTCTTTTACATTCTTTATTTTAACACAAAGCCATGAAAACAGTAGTTTAAATAGTATAAATTTGTGCCTCCATTTTGTTTATTTATTTACGTAGCTGGCCGGGCGGGCAACAATTTTTCACTTATTGCCCGGGCGGGATACATTGTATTTATATAAAGCCACGTGAGTACAAATCAGCCAATCACGTTTGGTGTTCATACTGCCTATATAACAATTACAGTTGTATATTTGATTATTTTGTTAGTGCTCAATAAGTTTAATTTGTTCTGAGAAAACAGTCAAACTTCAGGCCAAACTTCTACGCAGTTACTTATTTAGTAGTTTAATTAACTGCCCATCACTTTTAAAACAGCAAGAAGATAAAGACAACGTGCACGGATGAGTTATCCATGAAATAAATAGTCGGTTTACAATATGAATTCCGTCTTTCTGGATAAAAATTAGTTATAAATAATCTCTCTAGCTGTATGTGTTAAATGCTACATGTAGGTATTTCCTCCGGTATATTCCTTCTCTTTTGCATGGCTGTTTGTGATTACTCGTCTCTTGTCACTAGGTCATGTGGTGCCAGCAACTCTAATCCAGCCGAAAGAAATCAAGGAACACCTGAGGTCGCACGACGTTAGCTTGGATTCCAGTTTGAGAACAGAGTCTTGTCTTCCACCTGCATGAGCCGATTAGTTCATTATTTTCTATCTGACATATACTTTTGATCCAATTTCAATTAAATTTATCCAACCATATCTGGATGATACATTTACAACACAGGCAGTACTCAGGCCAAAGGAAAGTCAAGAAAGGCAGGCCAACTTTCCCGGAGGGGCTTCCGGAATGGTGGAATTGTGCAATGTGTTAAATATTAAGGAATATTCTGAAAATTGTGGTCGAAAAAGGTCTGAAAAGCATATATATCCCTGTTACAAATGTTACAATATCCCTGTTACAAATAAAGTATTACTGCCAGAACATGCCAAACGATATCTGGTTCGGGGGTGTGTGGATGGTGAACTTAAAAAATTCGGGCCCCTTCCTTTTTGTGGGCCCCCTCAAAATGTTTTCTGGTAAGCAAAAATTTTACTGCAAAATGTGAAGGGTGGGAACGGGGAGGGGGAGGTGGGTAATTGGAGCGACGTTTTTGGGAAAAACGTTCCAAAAATTATTTTTGCGATAATGGGGGGTTCAAAATTTATCAAATGTAGCCAGCTTACGCGTGTTTATCATATGACATACGCCAGATGGTGAATCGTACGCGGTGGATCGCGGTGTGTAAACGTAGCTTTAATGTTGTTAATGTCTGTATATGTTTGTATGTTTTTTTGGTAATTGTAATCGTTATTTATTGTTAGTTGATATTAAACTTGATGTATCATAATGGATCCGCAGTAAATGGCCGTAGCTGTTGCGGTTTCCAAGCCTGCATGTTGAGGCAAAGTGTAATAAAATTTTAAATTTTAAATTACCTTTACATCCCCGAAACAAAATTCTTCTATATAGTCGCTACTTACTCTCAAAAATCTCATGGAAACCTGGATTTGCGAAATTTTAGATAACGTTGCTACTAAATATATTCGAAAATGGCTGGAACTTCCTAAATCTGCAACCCTTAGCAATGTGTATCCTCACAAAAACAAATTTGGTTTGAATATCATTTTGCCTTCGACGAAATTTATCCAATGCCAAAGTGTTTCTCGTTCAATTTAAAAGCGTCTATAAACGAAGACTTCAACAAATTATGGTCAATAACAAGCACGAACAAGAATATTCAGTATGATATATACAAAAATACGAAGGATGTCTTGAAAGCCTTTAGGAATGAAAATGAACAGAGACTACAAAACCACCTTATTCTCACAAGGTTCGTTCTTCTCAAGTATCATAAAAAACTCCACGTCATCATTCAATTCCTTATGGTCATCCGTTCAATCCAGACTTCCTAAAAATATATTTAATTTCAGTCTCCGCTATATCAACAACTCCCTCCCTACTCGGAAAAACCTGGTCAAATGGGGTCTGTCATCGTCTGCTGATTGTTCCTTTTGCTCTTCTCCTGAGTCACTCCTGCATGTCATCTCTGGTTGTAAAGCATATCTACCGGGTGTCCCCAAAAAAGTACTCCGGTTTGACTTGTAATAACTTCTAAACAAGTAAAGCTATCAAACAAAAATAACTTGCATTAAATGGAGGAAGGACTAATTTAAATTTTTATATCTTACAGTTGTATTTTACTTAACAATTCACGGACATATTAATGTTCAAAATCGGGAGCATATTTTTGAATGTATCTAAAATTAGCAAATATTAACTTCAGCGTTTGTTTGCTTGATGACATATCAGGCTATCTTGTATTTCAGCGAATTGTTGTTAGGGTTTTGTAAGGGATATCGCATAGATTTAGACATCTTATATGTAAGTCTTAGCTCATTGTTTCCTGAAATATGAACGTACGAAATTATGCAAGTATTTAATAGGTCTTCACAAACTTATAAGGTACATGCATGAAAGACCATGCAATGCAGGCGCTTAAATTTTAAAATTTCTTAAATAGCCTAATTTATTTATGTTTTTCATGGATTCAAAACAGAGTTGATTATTTATCGGTTAGAGCAGGATGAATATTATTCTGCAATAAAGGAAATAATATTGCTTTTTGCAAATACACATCACAGTATCAACGTTCCAAAAATTTGTTCCAAAAATGTTGGATGTCTCTGGGAGTTGCATGCTTGTTATGTCTTATCGAGTTGTATGGTTTGATTGTGTTTCATTCACAGTTTATTCTGAAAATAAAAATATTAAGGAAAGGCAAAAGAGTTTGAGTGTTCTTAACAAGATTTCAGAACGTTGCAAAAGTTAGAAGAGCTTCACAATTCGATTGTGACAACATGCCCTAATTCAGAACTACGAACGATCTATGACAATCCTTCGCGATGCAGTGGTCTCTTGAAATAAGGAAACGTATTCGTGCTAGGAACACACGCGAATTTCGGACGAATAGATCTTGCTTGTATTTTGGTAGATAATAATAATTTGTTTCATAATAAACAATTTGTCAAGTGTCATTTATTTACGTCGTGCATGTTTCAGTCGGGCAAATCTTGATTAATATTTGATATGCCGTTTTTTGCATATTTCAGACACATTCAGAAATATGCTCCCGATTTTAAACATTAATATCTCCATGAATTTTTAAGTGAAATACAACTGTAATATATCAAAATCTAAGTTAGTCCTTCCTCTATTTGATGCAAGTTATTTGTCTTTAAAAGCTTTACTTGTTTAGAAGTTATTACGAATTAAACCGGAGTACTTTTTTGGGGGACACCCGGTAGATGAAGGGCGATTTACGTGGCGGCATAATTCAGTCCTGAACTTCATTGCATCCAGCCTTATGAGTGCTGAGCTCTACGTAGATTTGCCTGGTTTTTAATACACCGTCAGTTATCACTGGTGATCAGTTACGTCCAGACCTTCTCTTGGAAATAAAGTTTTATATGTTTGGAACTGACTGTTGGCTTTGAAACAAATCTTAACTCGAACTCAGATCGAAAACATAAAAAGTACCTGCCGCTTATTTCAGATCAAGAAAGTAACTATGATAAGGTAAAATTTGTTAATGTATCCATAAGCTCACTAGGCGTTTTTGGTCAAACGACGAACACCTTAACTGATATGCTCAAGGACTGGAGTTCGATGAACAACAAATTAAATACATTAAAAAGAAATTCATTGCTATTTGTATTCGCACATCATATTATGTATTCTGTCAGCGAAACAAAGATTGGACTAGCCCAGAGCTTCTAAAATTTTGAACAATATAAATTCCCTATTTTGTAAATTTATATAATCCAAATATTTTTCAAGTAGTCATTGATAAACTACTTTATGAGCGAGGTTTATCAATGTAAATATAGTTTTATGGTATATTATGAAATAAATAAAGTTTCCATTATTATTATTATTTTTATTATTAATATTATTATTATTATTATTATTATTATTATTATTATTATTATTATTATTATTATTATTGTTATTATTATTATTATTATCATCAGGGTCACGATGTCGTGACAGCAGCGATCGAAATTAAAATGGACAGAGCAAATGAATACAGATATGCTAGAATGTAAGAAGAAAGCGATGGAATTCCTTAAATCGGAAAACCCGCTATGCCATGTGAACGGCAGAAAGAAGGGCTATATACAAGTTATGAAAGATCTGTGGGACAAGAAAGGATACGAACATCTTGGATTAAAGAGCCAAAACCTGCGAGATCAAGCCGCTAGACTTGAGAAAATTAACGCTACAGCTGAGACTCGTGCTGTCGGTGAGGTAAGCGGCGGAGCGGTTATCGATGACGAAAGAGAGCAGACATTAGATGAAAACCAGAGAAGGCACAACACGATTTCACAACATGAATTTAACAATTTTGAAAATCAAAACACCATTAGTCAAAATGTAAATCAGCAATCTGGATTTGCATACAGACAATGATATTGTCCAAAACAGTCACGAACGGCAAGAAACCGAAGCTGTAGAGGGTTTTGAAGTGACTAATGACTATCCTGGTGAACCACACGCCGGCATACATGAAGCAGGACGTCTACCCGACTATGTTGCTGTTGATATACCATCGATTACCATCTGGGGACGCAGAGCGGACGGCTTAATAATTTCGGTCAACTCGTCAACCATAATTAATGCATACGATGAAATTACGCTATGGGTTAAAATACATTCTTCGTCCCGTATGGCAAAGTTGGGCGAGACTTTATCGACCAGCTAGCACAACATATAAACGATTGGAACAACGCATCGCAAACACAACACATAGCGCTGACAGCTGAAATTTTTCTCTTGGCAACTGCACTGCAAAAGCCAAGCGTAAAATCGAAGGCAAAAGATCACAAAGAGTGCTTGGAAAAACGACTAGCGCTATGGAAAGAAGGAGAAGTCGAGAGCTCACTTCGTGAAGGCCGGTCCATTCAAAAGCGTCTAGCAAATGCTAAAAGGACGGAGGCTCCAAATAAAGCGAAGATATTCCCCAAGTTGGTCATGGAAGGTCAGATCAATTCTGCTTTGAGATATCTCAGTGAGGCTGATTTTGATGGAGTGCTGCCTTTGACTGACGACGTGATGAGACAGCTTCAGGAAAAACACCCTGAGGCAAAAGAGGC